TTGCCCCTAAAAATGACTTTTGTTGGTCTAACCTTATTAGTCACATAAATTATATGATTGACTTTAATAAAACATATTAATTTGCATGACACACATTCAGGTTGCCAGACAAAAATATTATATATTTACCTGCATTTAAATGTTGAGATGAGTTAAACTCACCACTGGAATTCTCAGCGGGGGTCACGGTGAAATCCATCACAAACTTGACCATAAAACACAATACACACGTTATTAATAACAGGCTTCTATCTGTCATTCGAGATATGATTATGTTTCAAACCATTATAAGTGACATATTGAGGAAAAATACTTACTGTGAAGTAATTTAAAAATAGTTGTTACAATATCTGACTACATAAGCTAATTCAAAACAATGTTGCACATTTAAAGGTATATTCAACACTTACTGAGATCTTTGTAAAGTCAAATCTGGACATTGAAAAAAGACTAGTTATCTTATGGATTTGTCCAAAGCTTTTAGGCTTTTCAGGATTATAATTGGAGTTTGTTTTTGGATCATGCTTACTGTTGCCTGCTGTCTGTTTGTTTTACTGACAGCAGTGATTTGGCATCTTCATTTTTAGATTTTCCCTAGATTCTCAAACTGGGGACTCCCAGGGGGCCACAAGGGGGTGCTGTGTGTCCACAGAAAATTTAAGAGGAAAAAATACAAAGATTTTATAGGGCGTCCGAGTTAAAATGGTAAAGTATTAATTAAATGCTTAATGCAGCGATTTTTGAATAAATTTATCGAATTTTATTTTATTTACCAAATAATATTTTCTCACTTTATATCCTGTGAATCATGAAATCAGAATTATTTGAACAATAAAAAATAAGGACAATTGATACATATTATACTGAATAGAAAAAAAGATGCAGTCAAAAAAACAAAATAAAATTTCTCAGGATAAGATTTGAATAATCTATTTAGCCTTTAGTACAATTAAAACGTTTATGTAAAATCAATCTTAATATTTTTCTCAGATAGTATAAATGGGTCTTTGTGGATGAAAACGTAATAGTGCCTTTCCTTTTAACTGCCATATCAATATATACCCTATATATATATATATAAAAAAAACAATATTCATATACCATAGTACATGGTTTTCAATCTTGATCCTGTGGACCCACCGCTCTGCACATTTTGCATGTCTCCCTTATTTAACACACCTGATTCAGATCATCAGTTCGTTGAACTGAACTGAGTGTCAGATAAGAGAGATATACAGAGATATAGCTGTGCAGAGCGGTGGGTCGTCAGGACCAGCATTGAAAACCACTGCCATAGTATTTATATGGAACTATAAGGTACTACAAGGAACATGGTAGTCTCATATTAAATATCATGACCTGTACCCAATATTTAAAAAATGTACAAATGCAATAAAAATATTGGTATCGGTACTCGGTATCGGCAAGTACCAAAAATAAAAGTATCGGTATCGGGCGAGTACTGGAAAAAGTGGTATCGGTGCATCCCTAACTATAAGGTACTACAAGGAACATGGTAGTCTCATATTAAATATCATGATGAACTAATGACATGGTACATGCCCACAAACACTTTTTGTTTATGTAAAACATCAAATGTCATCTCATTTATCATGAACCTACCTTTATCTGATTATCTCCAGTGGTTTGAGGAACACTGCAGTTACAGATGTCTCTCTCTGCCTTGAATTTGTCCTCTGAAACGCGTGCCACTAGTTAGTTGACAGCTCCTCAAACGCGCTCTAAACGAACCGTGATCTCCAACATCGCCCATATGTGCGTTAATGCACATTTGAACGCTTCATGGACTGATTAAAATGTCTCTCCGGCGAGGTTAAGGCTCTCGTTCCTTGCCAATTCACAGAACATCTGTGAGCCTTGCTGGAAAAAGGAGTTATGTGTGATCCTGAAGAGTCGAGCTCGATGTAGCGTCTCATTTGCTGCCTGATGGTTATGATCCTGCTGACGTGACGAACATCATCCATCTGGGCACTTTCAGCTACACCACGGTTTAAAGAAACCAGAAACTGCACAGAACTGGTAGTTCGAGTCCATTTACAGCAACTAATCCCATTTGGAATGTCATTTCAACCGCATAATTTGCACGTCTTTCCTCACTGGGACTGTCCCTGCAATTAGTGAGCGGTTTAATCAGGCTGGGTTTGAAGCGTCTGCGAAGTGAAAAGTGGAAACATGTTTACGAGTGTAGCACTAAATGTTGTTTTGCTATAAAGCCTGAGGGGATTGATCAGGCTACGCGTGAAGCGTACATATGAAGCAGATAATCTATGCCTAAATGAGCTGCAATATGTTTTCTTTAATAGTCTATTTACCCTGCATAAAAGTGATAAATATAACAACACGTAAAAAAAAAAAAATTCAGTCAGAATGTCATGCATCAACTTTATGCCATTAATTACACACATTAATATTCCACGTATTAATCATAACTTTGAGTCTTGTAAACATCTGAACATCCACTGTAAGTGAATGTTATTTTTATTTTTGTATTTTTATGTGCGCATGGCCGGAAGGTATAATTCTGGGTAGGCCTATTATCACATAACCATAAAACGAAAAAAATATGTGTGTATATATATGATAATTAATATAATAAATCCTTCTATGGTTTAAAGGGGGCTATGATTCATTAAGTACATTATTTTGTTATTTTTAAACACTCAATCAGTATTTAGCTTCTTTGAAAGACTAGCTAAGGCTGAGGAATGATTTTTGCAGGTGGATCACATGCCGTGGTTTTGGTCTGACTTAGCATCATTTTAAAAGAATTATTTGGCAATATAGAGATTATATAGCTTAATCAGGTTAGACGCGAGGCTGTGAGGGTAGACTGTCATAGTCTTTAATATGACACGCACTGTGTAAAGGCCAGATCATGTAATTTTCACAACTTTCAAAACTGTTTTATGGAGTTTTGAAAGTGTTTCTCAGATGAATGTTTCGTTAGCTCAACAGTACAGTTAAATGAGCGCACTGTAGTTTATCCCTCATATCCTCGTTTTCATTCCTGTCAGATATGACTGATATTGACAGAATGATCAAATTTAGCACTCTTAGGGAAATATGATAATGTTTTGTAATTATCATTTAAATCTGGCTAATTTTCCAATTGTTTGTCATAAATAAACATCTCAGAAATGTTATGGGGTTTCAAATATGACTTTTTATCATGAAACAGGTCATAATTTTCATACGTGTCTTCTGTAGAGGACACCAGGACAACATCATGTTAATCAGGCATTTTGAGGGAGACATGGGATAAAGAAAGGATAGATCAATGTTCCTATAAAATATGAGATACTCTTATGAAAATGTTGCCAAGTTATTACTCCCATTATAACACTTCTTTTTCATTAATATTCAAGAACAAGGCAGAAGCGCTAGACTGTCCTTGCAAATTTGGAACTGCCCCACTTTATAGAACAGCCGTTGAGCACAGACCCATTATATGCTACTCTGCAGGTTCAGGAAACAGTCTTCCATAAAATGCGTCACACAGCGTCACACATGACGGGCTTGAGTGAGCAGAGAACGGTGCGGCCGGCGGGCTTGCGGCAAACACATGTGACGACCCAGGGCTGGACTCCGCTTCGTCCACGGTGAAAGCCGATCCGGCGATCCACAGCACGAAGTTGATGTATTTCCTCAGCGACCAGCACGGATCAGCTCCAGGCATGACGAAGCGGATATCGTCCTCTTTTGGAAGGCCAAACAAAGTAGTTTCGCTTTCACAACGAAACACACAGCGCCTTCACGACATGGCGGCAGCAACAATACTACAGCGAGAATAAATCGCACCGCGTAGACATAAAACCATGTCTGCATTTGTGATCGGAGAAATGACAAACAACAAGCGCTACTTGCATTTGAATCATCAGTGGCAAATTCTTTTAATATGAAAACATACTTACAGGCTGTGAGTCAGAAGCGCTAGACTGTCCTTGCAAATTTGGAACTGCCCCACTTTATAGAACAGCCGTTGAGCACAGACCCATTATATGCTACTCTGCAGGTTCAGGAACGTGGACAAGTCTTAACTTTTATAAAGAATATATCTTTGGATTTGAGACTTTAGTCTTTGCAACTTTACAGATCTTCTTTATGCACCAAGAGCTTGTAATACTCCAAAGAGAAAGGAAAAATTGAAATCGCATCATATGACCCCTTTAATATGCAAATTAGATGCAATGTATAGATACATTGTATAAAATGGGAAAACCAGTTTATGGACATTTTATGCACATATTCCATAAAGTACAGCAGTATATTAAATCATTCTGTTATTTCTTTCATAACATAGTTGTGAATCATCTTTGTACAAAGTTTGGCTAAAAATAGCCTGAAACCTCAAAACTGATCAGTGAATGAAAAATAAAACATTGTTTTTGCCTATATACATGCCTTTTAATGTCTATTTATCTTTTTTAATAACTTTGACCTGGCGTCCTCTACAAAGGACATAGAATAAAATCTGAATAAAATCAAAGACTATAAAAATATATTTAAAAAAAAAAAATGTCTCCATTTGTTTCTTATGCTCCAACCAATGTAATGACAAAAAATAAATTAATTAAATTAAATTAATTCACAAAACTTTTTTTCTGGTTCTCAGGAGGATAATGTAGAATACAAGCTCCACAACAATGCAGTGGGTAATGACAAGTAGACTATAGACTATAGACACATGAAATAATACACTGTACCATTTGATTCTGACATTGTGTATGAATTAGTGTACATATGGATATGATTCAGTTTCAAGCGATGTTCTGAGCTTCAACAATCAAGACAGTTTGTCAAACACTCTGGAAGTTGTTTGTTTCCAGTAATATTAAGACACTCTTGATGTTTGGACAGAAGATGGCGCTTTGCTGCAAAATACTGAGCATCAATGAAATCAGTTATAAATTGTGTAATGACACAACTCGTCCACTAGGGGCAGGCGGAAGCTGAACTCGCGGACGTCGCTGAATCAAAGAGGAAACGGAAACAAACAGAAAATACAGCAATTTTTCACCATTTCAAGTCAGGTTAGGTACAAGAGCTCAACCTCATCAACGATTAAAGACCAATTAGAGTGGATTCTGAGTTCTTGAAAACGAGAGAGCGAGTGTTGGCCCTCACAGTTGTTTTCAGGAGTGAGTATATGAAACTACAGCTTTTCTCTGACTGCCAGCGTCAATGTTTTTTTCCATGTTAACATGAGCAAAAGGCCATAAAGCCTCTGTGCTCTTCTATACATTACCACTATTCGTTATTATTTGTGGTCACGGAATCATGGATTTTATGCTTCTAGACACGTTGACAGAAGAAACTCGTTGTTTTTTTTAGTTATTTTAACTTGATTTTTAAACTAGAACCTTTGGAACTGTACTAGAATTAGTCATGTTTATTTTTTTATTATCATTTAAACGATGCATTGTGAATAGAAATACTTTAAAAACTTTTATATAATATTTAGAATTTGAAAGTTAGTTTTATGTTGCGTTAATGCATATATAATGGTAAACAATTTTACTTATTAACGTTTAATTTTATATGTATTTTATATGAATGTTGTAAAGATTATATGGTTCTGTTATACGATGGTAAGTCTTTGTTTCAAGATTCAAGTAGCGTTAGACAAAACGTCTTTGTCAAATGCTGCCTGTTGAATTGCAGTAACCTTACTATGTAAGATAACAATATGATTAAAATGTACGATAATACAGCCCTATGCTTTAAATAACATCCAAAGCATTTCCGGTGTCATTTACGCAATTTTCTCCGCTAGAAATCTGATATCGTTAATACATTACAGCTCGTTTACACGTTGACTTATGTCTGCGCAAATCATGATATTTGCTAAAAATCTAATATTATTCTGTGCACGTTCTAAAGCGCTATGACGTTATCGAGCCTTGAGTTCGCGAACGCTGCGAAATTCTTACGGTTTATTGGTCGAGCAACAGACGGAGCGAAGCCAATTGGGTATTGACGCCTCTTCTCGGGCTTTGATTGGCTGACGCCGTTTTGACGCGCTAATCTGATTGGACGGTCCGCTCTAGCCGCGGCGCGTAATTGGCCGCTTGAGACGTCAAGCAGACGGGTTTCCTTCCTCTTTATGGAGAGCGTTTGCTTTTTAATGCCAGTTGTATCGTGGGGCGCGGCCCATTTAACAATCTAGAACACTAGATTAACACTATCGAGCCCTATCGGATTTTCTGAAAGACTGAAAGTATTTTGTTCGCAGGTTTCTCGCCGTGATCTTTATGTGAGGATCGCGAGGGAGGAGAGACGCGGGGCTGACAGAGAGAGAGAGAGAGAGAGAGAGAGAGAGGCAGGTGGAGATCATTGTGTCTTCTTGGATCTGTGCTCATCATCGC